TCAAGATAAGTTCTATCATCGTTTGGATAGTTCGGATTCGGCTACGGTTCCAGTTCGGCTACAATCAGTTCGATTAAAGCTCCAGTTCCAGCAGCTCGCAAGTTCCAACCTCATGACCATCAGTCCGAAGATCATGTTGTGATACACGCKGCGTATCCCAAGGGGGAGTATGTTCGGACTTCGTCAACCTGTTCACGCTGTTATGTCCCTCTGCCCCAGGTTGGTAACACTGCCGGAGAGACGCTCCTCTCCACCCCGGTCGCCGGTCTGCAACTCGCAACGGTCGCGGGTGTGTTTTCGACCGGGTGTGTGTGCGTCGTCGTTCTTTTACTGTTGTAGCACGCAAGTCTCCATGCTCGTTGCCGTTCGCAACTGCTTTTGTATTACATTTTTGATTTAATAGTCATTTTTGGTCCGTGCAAAATTGCTAGGTCCACTTGCGAACTCGTTCTAGTTCAAGTGTTGTCGGTCTCGTTGACCATAACGCACGTTCGGTGTTAGTCCGCTCGTGCACATACTGCAGTTCGCAGCGTGAAGGCGGATCCTATTCACACCGTCCAGCTCGGATCTAAACCTCGTGGTTCCTTTACCAGTTCATAACAAATAAATATTATTATATTTAGTTGTTGGTCTGTTGACCATCAGCAGCTCGCTTCGCTCCAGCAGTTCACTGTTCATTATTGATTGCAGTTTGCATATCTAGTGGAAAACATAATCTTTGTTCCGGTCAACTCAAGACAACGTTCAACATCTTCTCCCTTGTATATATATATATTGTACTGTTTAGTTGTTCGTTATCTTTGGCATTGGCCATATGTAAATAAATCAATATTCTGGTATGGGACAGAATATTTGTTGTCATTATTAATTTGTATTMTTTAACTGGGACTGATCACCTCGGTTAAATTAATATTGTTATTCATGTGTAATAAACCATTTGTATATTGTTGTTATAATTATCTTGTACATTTATTATATTTATTAGCTCATTGTATCTAGTCCAGGGTGTGCGAGTTCTAGRTGCTAACCGCAGAGACAGGAGCTCCTAGTGCGAACAATATCATTGGATTCAAATTTAATTCCATCCATTACAGTAACCCACTTGTAACCTACTGTACATCAAAGCGACATACACGACTTACCCGCTTTTTAATTATTAATATCATAAGTTTTGTAAAAAAAATAAAAAATATTTTACGAATGTATATTGCATTTAAATTTTCAATTATTAATATYATAAGTTCTATGRAAAATATTTTAATAATTATTGCATTTCAATTGTCTGATCTTTTTGCACATTGTTTTCTTTGTGATCTTTTACTGATATAATAAAAGTGCGCCAGGAATGGTA